TCGATTAGAGAATGATTGGAGACCTAGCCACATTCTCCAATCTCAAACGAAACGACGTGGTAAAACTATCGAGAATCAGCGATCTCAATAAAAACGGGCCCTAGTTCTCCGACTCGAGAAAATATTAATTCTCTAATCGAATTCTAATGTTGATCTCTAATAGGATTCGAATGTGAATTTCAAACTACTGTTTAGCTTTATTAAATAAAACGCTTTGTTTGTAAAATTTGTATTAAATGCATTTGCAATAAAATAACTTAATTTATGATTCATTCATTTGGAACATTTATTTGAGTTTGCGTTGTTTCTCTAATCGTTCTCGAATCGAATTCTAATGTAGTTCTCTAACTTCGTCATCGACTAGAGAACGATTAGAGAATTACCCTAGCTATCTACTTTAGAAATCCCAATTTCTCTAGCGTTAGAGACTTGCACTTTATGATACTCAAATTAAATAGGCTATAACAGTGGTGTCCAACCGAGGGCTACTTTGAAACCATTGCTATGCTTTGGGGGCACCGCCTAAATTGACTTCAATCTTAATTGATATGTAATTAATAAAATTTACACAGCTAGCTAAAATAAAGGAATGCACATAAATAAAGAACATTCGTTGTATTGTGACAACAACAATTTCTTCTTAATTGATAAAGCAGTCTTTCCATTATGATTCATAAATCGATTTTTTGTAAAAAGATAACACTGGTTACATAGAGAACATTTCGTCGCCTAAAATGAAAAAATCTGTAACGGACCTTGTTACCTGAAATGCAAAAGGCCGTAACTAACAATAAACTCAAAATTCAGTTTTTGATTGATTATGATACATTTCATTGAATTAAAAGACCCCACATCGTTTGACGAAAAAAACTGCATTTGAATTCATGTATGGCTTTTCGTATTTCGATCGTAACTGAAGAAAATTTTCCTCGAGTCCAAAGTGGTGAAAAGTTCTTCTCTGTTAACAGCCTCTTTCATATGTCGATTTTCTCCACAAACGCTGATATTGCAGTCATAATTTCTGAAAACCATTATTCAGATTATTTAATTTTGCAATTATCATTTATAATGCCAAATCGGAGAGCCTTATCAATATTTATTTATTTATTTGCAATGGTCATTAAGAATTTCTTCATTACTGTCTTTGGATTTCACAAATATATTTATTTATAATGGCCTAATCTTATTTACAGTTGGCTATTATAACATTCAACTGAAGCTTTCCCATTTAAAATTGGCGTTTCTCATTTTCAGTTGACACTTTCGAATTTACAACCGGAAATGGGTTAGTTCGATACAGAGTATTCTTCTGCCCATCTTTTTGTGTGGGGCGCTTAAAATACAGGTTGCGTGCTACTAGACACCCGCAAACTACTGGTTGAACAGCACTGGGCTATAATATAAAACTGCATACGCAAAAAAATTCTGCAAAATCTGATTAAAAAGTTGAAAAGTTAGTCGAAACTTTGCAGAATTTTTATAATTTTTGCACAAAATTTTAAATATGAATTTATATGGTTTTTGTTATATAAAGGGCTAAACTTAGAAAAGAAATTATAAATATCAACATAAGAAAAATAGGCAAAATTTGTGTAAACGTCGTGCCCCCATTTATTTTTCCACCACTGTATGTACATACATATACGTAATATTAGACGCCTATACCTATAACGTTCCTCAAGAGCTCAGCACTTTCCTTAAAAGCAACTCCAACCAAAATTTTCAATTTAAAAGCCGTAACAGTTTGCGGTCAACTGGAACTTAGTAATACTGTCATTATAAATTTATTACTAAGTCTATAAACGAATTATTGGCCGTAAAATAAAAAACGAAGACATTCTTGACATTTTGGAAAGTTGGCGTACCGATTAAGGAGCTACACTTTAAATGTATTTCTACACTTAACATGCAGTACTTCATAATTTCATTAACATAATGATATTTGCGACAGGTACATAGTAATGTATTTGCTTTATTATATCTTCTCTTGTTGCTGTCATGGGAATAATTTCTTATTTCCATTCGCTTTTAATTCCCTTTGAGATGCAAGTGCCTTTATTAAATTGGGCACAAGCGAATGCTTATCTATTGTTAAATACTCGGCTCAGGCAAATAGCCATCCATTGGCACTGACATTCACTTGTAAACGTAGACAAAACCATGTTACTCATTATGTGCATTTAGCTGTCGCTTGCCTTGAATCTGCGGCAAACCAAAAGCCGACTTGCTATCGTCCGCGCGACAAACAACGTCTGCGCGTCTACGGCGTTGTCATTTTGTGTGCGCGCTCAGTCATTTGTTATATATTTTATTTAACGCTAGAATCCATCCATCCATCCATGAAGTATTCAAGCAAATCGATTGTTTAGTCATGTCAACAAACATATTCAATCGAACTTGTTTATGTTTATTGTGGGTTGAATGCTCGCGCACACGCTCAGAATTAATTTCTATTTCGTTGGCTAGTCAATTTGTCGCAATGTAATAAATATTTATGTAGCTTTTTAGAGAATGCTTTTTGCGTTACAAATCAGCTGGTTAATGAGGAAACGTGAATTGGGCCACTACGTGAATGAAATTGTATTAGGAGCCACTAAATATTTTTAATCCATCTAAAGCCGTTTTCTTTTCTACCGAAAA